ACACTGAGATGGGTTGGTGACTGCAAAGCTGGAGAAGGAAGTCCCCACGGTCCAACCTAAGAGTGATTATAGACACTTCCCCAGGACATCTGCACATGGATGTACACATGACAGAGAATAGTTAAGTATAGATGATATTCTCAATTTCCTTTTAATTACTCTTCTACAGAAAATAATGCCAAGATATTGAGAAGACAAGCCAGAACTGAGAGAGAAAAAAATGCAAAAGACATTGAGAATAGTTATTTAAAATCTATAAATAATTCTTAAAACTCAACAGTAAGAAAACAATAACCCAGCTTTAGAGTGGTTCAAAATCATTAACAGATTTGTCACCAAAGATGTTCAGATGAAACATAAGCATACAAAATGTTCCAAGTGCTATGCCACCAGGATGTCTGGCTTTGTGGCAAGCACTTTTATCCACTGAACCATTCTGTTTTCCCTCTCTTGCCAAAGGAAAACCTCAGCTTTGTGATCTTAAAAGTAATGATTAGGTTTTTATGAGAAGAAAGTGATTCTCTACCTCCTACTAAAAATTGTCCTACAAGAACATCCTTAGGCTCTTGAGCTTTGAAGTTAGGCTCTTGGGAATCTATTATAATGTTTATATGTCAGTGTATAAAAAAGTAAGACATTTACTGAAATAGCAAATGCTGGTCATTAGCAAAATGATATTTACACTAACATTTTTATTTATATTAACAGGAAAATTTGAAAAAGCTTCAAAAGCTGGAAAATACTGTAGAGCAGCAACCAGTTAAATTATATAAATGCATTTAGTGAAAAAAAATATATATGTAATTATTAGGCATATGTTTATACAGATTAAAACATGGGGAATATGTTGTAATTTTAAATAGAAAGCAGAAAGATAATCTTTCAATATTCTTTCAGATTTGAAAAAACTAACTAAAGGGTAGAAAAATCTTATAATAATTATATGGAGGAGATGGATATGAATTCTTTTTACTTTTTTATCTTTTCTTTTTATTGCTTATTCTTATCATGAAAATATTGCTCTTAAAGGTCCAAAAGATATTTTCGTAGAATGAGCACACAACCTACCCCATTACTAAGGCCAAGGAATGAAACTTCCTGGCTAAAACTCCATAGTCCCTTGGAGGCTGACCTTAATGTTCATTCCCAGCTGATTTCATCTCAAAATACACTCATGCAGGAGAAGACAAGAACACAGTGTATTTGGCATAGAGACTTCTTGTTTGCGAGGAATCCAGACATTTGGCAATGCTTGTCAACCAGAAGGAGGATCAGGCAGGTTGAACATACCTGCCAGGTCTTCAAAGGCATTAGAGAGGAGATGCAGTGCCCAGAGTATGTAAGAAAAGAACAGGACTTTTATTCATCAAAATGAATTGAGCCAGCAATGCAAACAATTTTCATTGTTTAGATGACTCTTGCAGATATGTTTCATTTAAAGAATATAAGTTTTTAAACTTTGTTTTATTTTTCATTTTGTGTATGTCTGTGTGGTGATATATGTATGTGAGGGCAAGTACCTATGGAGGCCAAACTACAGTGGCAGATTATATAGAGCTGGAGTTACAGGAGGTTGTGAGCTACCTGACATGGGTGCTGGGAATGGAACTGGGGTCCTCTGAAAGAGCAGCAAGAGATTTTGAACCATCTAGCCCACAAGAATATCAATTTTTTAAATATAAATAAATAGCTAAATTTGTGGTTCTAGATTGTAGGTTCCTTTTAAAAAGGCCAATACAAAATGTAAGTTTAATTATGAGGAAAACCTAAGCATATGTAATGAATAATTGAACTGTAAATATAATTATTAGGAAAAGAACTTCTGGAGGTATTACCATCTCAGATCTCAAGCTCTACTATAGAGCTATAGTAGTAAAAGCAGCATGATATGGGCATAGAAACAGACAGGTGAATCAATAGAATAGAATCAGAGACCCAGACATAAATCCACATACCTAGGGGCACCCAATTTTTGTCAAGGAAACCAAAACTATACAACAGAAAAAAGAAAGCATCTTCAACAAATGGTGCTGATATAACTGGATGTTAGCATGTAGAAGGATGCAAATAGATCCATATCTTTCACTCTGCACAAATTCAAGTCCAAGTGGATAAAATACCACAACATAAATCCAGTTACACTGAACCTGATAGAAGAGAAAGTGGAAAATAGTCTTGATCACATGCCCAAGAGACAACTTCTTGAATAGAACACCAGTAGCACAGACACTATGGTCGACAATTAATAAATGGGACCTCATGATATTGAAAGGCTCTTATAAAGCAAAGGACACCATCAATAGGACAAAATGGTAGCCTAAAGAATGGGAAAAGATCTTTTCCAACCCCACATCCAAGAGAAGACTGATTTCCAAAGTATATAAACAACTCAAGAAACTAGACATCAAAAAACCAAATAATCCAATTTAAAAATGGGGTATAGACCTAAACAGAGAATTCTCAACAGAAGATTATCAAATGGCTGAGAAGCACTTAAAGAAATGTTCAGCATCCTTAGCCATCAGGGAAATGCAAACCAAAACAACTCTGAGATTCTTACACATGTCAGAATGGCTAAGGTCAAAAACACAAATGACAGCTTATGCTGGAGAGGAGGTGGAACAAAGGGAACACTCCTCCACTGTTGGTGGGAGTGCAAATTTGTACAGCCACTTTGGGAATCAACATGGTGGTTTCTAGGAAAATTGGGACTAAATCTACCTCAAGACCCAACTATCCCACTCTTGGGGATATACTCAAAGGAAGCTCAATCATATCACAAGGACACTTGCTCAGCTATGTTCATAGCAACTTTATTTGTAATAGCCAGAACCTGGAAACAATCTAGATGTCCTTCAGCTGAAGAATGGATAAAGAATATGTAGTATGTTTACACAATGCACTATCATTACTCAGCAGCAAAAAAACAATGATATCATGAAATTTTGCAGGCAAATGGATAGAAGTAGGAAAAATCATCCTGAGTGAGGTAACCCAGACCTAGAAAGCCAAACATGGCATGTACTCTCTGATGAGTAGATATTAGCTGTAAAGGAAAGGATAACCATACTACAATCTACAGACCCAAAGAGGCTAAGTAATTTGGAGGGCCCAAGAGGGAAAACTCGGATCTCCCTGGGAAGGGAAAATAAAAGAGATTTCATGTGTGGACTGAGGGTGGGTGGGAATGGAAACATGAGAGATCAGGTGGGGAGTGGATGGAGGGGGAGAATACAGAAAGAGATGACTGGAAGGGGGGTTGGTTAGGAGGTCAGGTAGAAACCTGGTGCAAGGGAAACTCCCAGGAATCTTCAAGGATGACCTCAGCTAAGACTCCTAGCAATAGTGGATACGTGGTCTAAATTGGCTATTTCCTGTGACCAGGCAAGACTTCCAATGGAGGGACTGGAACACCAAACCAGGCACATGAACTTCAACCTACAGTCTGACCTGCCTATGGGATGTCCTGGGGTAAGAGTGGCTCAGAGATTGTGGGAGTGGCCAACCAATGGCTGGTCCAGCCTGAGACCATGCCATGAGAGTGAGCCCACCCTTGACAGTGCCTGGAGTGCCAGGACCCAGAGGCTGGATGGCCCAGAGATAGGATAGAACCAAACATGACTGGAGAAAGAAAAAAATGTCAACGTAATGATGCCTGACAATATTCTGCTATATTCATAGGTTGGTGACTATCCCAATTGTCATCAGAGAGGCTTTATCCAGTAGTTAATGGAAACAGATGCAGAGACCCACAGCCAAACATTAGGCCAAGCTCGGGGAATCCTGCTGAAGAGAGGGAGAATGAATTGTACAAGCCAGAGGGGTCAAGGACATAACAAGAAAACCCACAGAATCAACTGACCTGGGCTCACAGAATCTGAACTGACAACCAGGGAACCTTCATGGTCCTGACCTAGGCCTTCTGTGTATAAGGGACAGTTTTAGAGCTTGGTCTTGTTGTAGGACTCTAACAGTGGGCACAGGGGCTGTCTCTGACTCTTTTGCTGGCTTTTGAGACCCTATACCTCGTACTAGGTTGCCTTGGCCAGACTTAACACAAGGGGAGGTGCTTTGTAGTATGGCAATTCGATATGCCATGTTTTGTAGATATCCCTGGGAGGCTTGCTCCTTTCTAAACAGAAATGGAAGAGAGAGGAGGTGTAGGGAGGGAATGGGAAGAAAGGAGGGAAGGAGAACTGCAGTTGGGATGTAAAATAAATAAATAAATTTCAAAACATATATATATATATATATATGTATGTATGTATATATTTATCAGGCACATATAATATGCAAAACACTGTATGGCTCTTAGTGAAAGAACCAATGATAAACGATGGGTGTTTGTTCTTACTGACTACAGCCCAGTGAGAGAGCGGGGACAGGTACACAGATTCACATCATAAAATGTGTGCTGCATCCCCAGGCAGGGGGATCGGGATCTGTCTTTGGTCTATGGGCAGGCTTCTGGAACCCGGTGCCTGTGGTGTGACACCTTGCACAGCCTTGGTGCAGTGGGAAGGGGCTTGGACCTGCCTAGGCTCAGTGTGCTGGGCTCTGCTGACTCCCCATGGGAGACCTCAATTTGGGGGATGGGGGGATGCGGGGTGGCTTGGGAAAGAGAGCTGGGGGTGGGAGGAGGGAGGAGGGGGATCTGTGGATAGTATGTGGAGTGAGTAGAAAATTTCTTAATAATGAAAAATGAAAAAAATTAAAAAATAAAAAAATATAATGTGTGCATTGAGTTAATACAAGGGTGGTTCAAAGCAAGTAGGGACACATTGCCCAATTCATCCTAATTAAAAAAGCTACAAAAACAACTTTTATTAGGTAATTATAAGCAATAGATATTAAATTTTCTATTGATTTATAATCCATATGTCATCTTAATTTTCTGGTCAGATTTAATGTTATCTCTTTATTAAGAAAGTAGCTAAATTCAAGCTTTTCATGTCAAAAATAAAATTAGTATGTTAGTAACAAATAAATTTTTTACTTACTTTGAATTTGTTCAGATTATATCATCTCCCTTCTGATCTTTCAAACAGGAAAATCACACAGAGTACTTTCTGTAAGAATAACCATTATTTTTAAGGCTTTAGCTATAAAGGCAAAATAGAGATAAAACTTAATGGCATGAACTTGACTGTGTACATAAGCTGATTATCAAAGTGGAACTGAACTAGCCAAATTAATCTCAGTGGCTTAATAAGCAAGACAATTTCTTTCACAGAGGACTGTGGGACTACTATAAAGCAAGGTCCTGTTTTGAGGTTTAAGGATGTGCCCATCCTATCACCCCAGCTCCATGAGAAGCATGATTTTAACCATTCCCTATTTTCATAAATGATCTGAATTATAATCAAAGGTATTTCAGCATGGAGAGTCCTTTTGAGACTTGTGAAAATTAGTGAGAAAAATGAGTCTGCTTCTTCAAAAATACAAACTGAAATTAGAATACCAGGAACATTAAGTAGAAATTTATGTAACAGCTTTATTACTCCATTCTACAAAAGTATTAAACACCTGTTGTGGTTTCACTGAAAAATCTAAAGGAAAAAAAAGGTCACAAAATGAATGGAAAGTCACTTCTTGCTCACATGGGCCCAAAACTAATCAAGCCAGCCTAGGAATCTCAGCACTGATGAGATGTGCTGTTACACACAAAGCATTTCATGTCTCTCAACCTAGGTTGACTCATCCATGACATGGGCCAATAATGGTCTGTACTGCTGAAGAACCTAAACATAAAATTCATAAAGTGCCAAGCAGAATGTCATCCTTCAGAATATGTATAAGTGATGTATTTCTGCTTTTGGTCAGTTTTTGCCCTGGTTGCATGAATGTGGGTTTACAGAAGAATATTATGTTCTGAAATTATTAAGAAATTAATATGCTGTGCAAACATGACAACCTGAGTTTAGAGCCTCAACTTCCACATAGATTCCAATGGAGCAGAGCCAGGAGAGAGGTAGAAACAGGCAGCTTCTGGGGGCATACTAGTGAGTCAGTCTATCTGAAACAGTGAGTACAAAGCTCAGTGAAAGACTCTGTCTAAAAGATAGAAGGTGGAGAGCAATATAGGCAAACACCCCAGGTCTCCCCACACAGAACCACCAACCTGGAACCAAGTGTTCAACTCTCTCACTTTTCTCATTCAAACCATTACATTCCACTCCCTGGCCCCCAAAGGCCCATAGTCCTGTCATGATGGAAAATACACTTAGCCCAATTTCAAAAGTCCTCATAGTCTTTCATAGTCTCGATGCTGTCCAAAAGTCTAAAAAGTCTCTATTCCAGGCAATCTTTGATGTGACCCCCTGTAATCATCAAAAGGCAAAGTTCATACTTATAATGGCACAGAATACAGATAAATTGCATCTTCCCTTTTGATCAAACAACCTTTATCATTCTTCTTCATTTATTTCCACGTAGATGTATGCATATTCAGGAGAGGATGAAGTTGTAAAAAGGCTGAGACATTTCTTTTGTGGAACTTGTATTGAGGTCAGCGGGCTCTATCTCTAATCTTAATTTGAGACTCTGCTATGCCTGGGCAAGCAGACACTACTCAAAAGTCACGATATTCCTTGTTGGTCCTCTCTCCTGCTGCCTTCTGGTGTAGCTCTCTAAGTCTAGAGTGAGCTCTGGTCAATCAGTGGTTGGGGACAGGAGATCTTGGGAAGCTAGGTATGTAGTCAGAAGGCCTGTGGGGTCAGAAGAGGGAGGCCTACCTAGAATATCTAGAAAGCAAGATCCTAGCCCGATGGGAAGCTTTCAGGGTAGGAAGGAGCAGGCCTAGTCTGAGGGCTAGGGATCCTGGAAGAGCCAGATCTGGCAGCACTTGGAGGTTAGATCCTGACAGAGCTGGTAGGCCTATAGTGTGTGGCAGAGCAATATCTACCCATTCACTTGAAGAGGCAATATTCAAGAGGAGATAGATTGTCAATGGGGTGGGAAGAAGCAGAGCATAGCTGATGTTTCCAGATCAGGGGACTTAAGACTGAAGAGAAGGTAAGGCTATGGGGTAGGGAACAGCAGGACCTACTTACTGATTCAGGGAAGAGTAGTCCAGGAATACCCATGCCTTTGAGCCTTTGAGATCTGAAGGAATAGAACTGTGGAAGAGGGGAGACCCAGAGGCACGGGGCAAGCATATGGGATTGGAAGAAACAGAGCTACCTAGCAGCATGGTAAAGGAGGACTTCCCACACTGTTTTACTATTTTTTAAAACAAAAAATTATTTAGTGTTACTGTTGCTAATTAATAAACAAAAGACATTGATTAGAACATTTATACGAGGAATAGGTTAGGTATTTGGATATAAATTTGTCTTTATAGGGCTAAGTGTTAAAGGAAAAATTCATGACAACAGAACTAAGTTATATTTAACTATAGAGTATTAGTGGTTTTATTATCATGAATACTTACTTTAAATAATCCACTGCTGGTAACAAGAAACATCAGCTTTCATGGTTACTCACACAAAGAGAATTGTTACATCTAAATGTGAGTAATAAGTAAATTAAACCCTTTTGAAAAGTGAACAGGATAGCTTTGAACAAAATGTGAGGTGTTGGCCATTAAATATGACAAGGTCAAAAGGAGCCATCATCAGGCTAACATTCATGTCCAGGCAGGAACAGTGGGGCTGTGTTAAAGGCTGAAAGAGTCTTTCAGGCTCGGCTGGCTCCCTTGAAATCCCATCCTCTCCTCTACTGGTGGACAATACTCTCCTTTTCATGTAGCATCCTTAGTCAACGTTGAGAAGGATTTTCTGTGTGTTAGTCTCTGCTTGAAATTTAAAATCTTTCATTTAATATTAGCTTTGATTTTGTTAATTTGGCAACAGTACATTTAGTCCTGCTTGATGTTTTATACTGTTAAGGAAGGAGGAGGGAGGAGAGGTTGGGAAGATGGATCATCAGGTAAGATCACTTGCTGTACAATCATAAAGACCTTAGTTGAAATGCCCAGCACCCATGTAAAAAAGCCACATGTGGCCATGTTGCCTGTATTCCCTAGTGCTGCATTGGGTCTATGGGGGAAAGAGGGCCACAAAAACAGGAGGATCGCTGAGGCTTGCTGGCCACCATTCTAGCTCCATGTTCAGTAAGAAACCCTGTCTCAAGGAAACAAGACAGAGAATGATAAAATAGTTATCTCCTCTGGCTTCCATGCACATCTCTGTGCACATGCAAAACTAATAAAATAAAATGGTGGCATGGGGAAGGCCCTTAGAAATGACACTTAAAAAGAAAAGCCTTTACAGGTAAAAGAGACTCACCAAGAAGGGAAGCCCACGACAGGACCTGGCTGGGATGAGGAATGTGTTCAGAGACAGCAAAAGTCAACTCTTCTGGTGAAAAAGACAATCACAGAGGCAACCGGGTGCTTTGGTGCAAATGTCATAAACTACCATGATCTTGTTTATCGTCTTGTTCTGACCACACAGTACTAAAAGGCATGACTTCCAAAGATAGCAGAAGTTGCAAAAGACAAATAGAGGTTCTCTCTTATTCAAAGTCTGGTAAATCAGAGATTGATTGTATGGTAGCAATATGAGAAAGCCTGGGGTCTCCATCAATTCTGATCTCTCACATGTAGTAACAATGGAGCATGAAAAATAAGCAATGATTACTTATGCATCCCAGAGTTGGTGGCAGAGAAAGAGGAATTTCAGGTTTCTTCTCTAAGCAGAATGTAGAAAAACAATGGCAATCTGGTGATGAAAATAATAGCTGATACACAGATTATTATTGTGATGCCAGGCACTGTCCACAGTAATTTCATTCCTACAGTAGTACAGTGCCCTTTGTGTCTCACAACAACCCTGGAGGAAGGTACTAGATTATCCCCTGTGACATTTAAACCAATGGGCCAAAGAAAGAGTACAATAAAAATCAGAAAATATCTGATTTGAATAAATAAAAACATATGAGATGATTATGAAACGGTATTTAGAAACATTGTACCAGAAAAAAAAATGAGTGTCTCAATTAATTTCTTAAACTTCTCCTTGAGTGGTAAAAATTTAAAAGATCAGTTAAGCCCAATACAGTCAGAATCCTACCAGTTTGTTTCCCTCCAGACACATTCATGCCCCTAATTTACTGGACTATTAAATGACCCCTAAGAACAGATCCTTATAGAGATAGAGATAAAGTATGTGTAGCATTAGGCAGCTAAAGCTAGTCTGCCAATGAGGTGATGAAGTTGACTTCCTCTGAGACCCTTTCCAGCACACCCCACATTCTGCATATTGTATGGTGCATGGAATACCCATAGGGTCTTAATAATTCAGTTCAGTTTATTATAGTCTGAATTATGGAGGTTGTTTCAGTGTCTGTCTAGAGGATATCTGGATACCCTAGAAGTAAACAGCATTGTCTCGCCAACAGTTCTTTGTAGAGAGCAGAGAAAGCCCTGGGTGAGTGAAGTCGTCAATGAACATGCTGTTGATGTGGGTACAGCCATGTCACGGACCCCAGAGCCTCAGACCTATGGAGAAAATGGTGAGGCTCTCTGGGGTGAGGCTCAGAGATATGGCAAAGCCTTCCTCTGGCCCATGTGTGAGTGATGATAGAATGTGCAGGAAATGTCCACCGTATGTCCTCCAACCCCATGTTTAGATTTATGATTCCTTTAAAATTCCTTATAAGATTACCTTTCAAGATAAGTAATAAAGTGATTGATGCTTTCTTTGTAGCCACAAAACACAGCCTGACAGTGAAAGAATATCTCTCTTGCTTACACACTGTTAATCTATAACAAGTTGCTTGAGTATGAATGTACTTGGGTTCTTGGGATAAATTGTTTTTTAACTGTAATATGTAAAATGTTTAATCATGTAAGGGATATGGAAAACATGCTGTTTTTTTACTTGTATCCATTGTAATCATTCACTTGAAAAACAGAATGTAACCACCTTGTAATTTTTATATTGCCTGAAAGATTTTGTTGGGGTATATGAGCTGTAAGGGAAAGAATAAAGATAGAGTTAAAATGAGTTAGAAAGAAAACACTAAATATGAGAGAGAAGGAATTAGAAAGAAAACATCGAGAATGAGAGAATAAGGAAGAATAAAGATAGCTAGAAGGAAACATTAAGAATAAAGATAGGGTTAGAAGGAAAGCATCAAGAATGAGAGAAGGAAATCTTCAGGAAAATAAAGAATAGAGAATGCAAAAGAGGAATAAAGAAAAGGTCTGAAGGAAACTATCAAGAGAATGTGTGAGTGTCTTTTCCCCTAAGCCCCTCAGACCAAAAAGGCTATACACACCTACTCTGTTTATTTCCCTGTACTGCTGCGGGCTGGTCACCCGACAGCGATACTACATCATATTCTTTTCCTCAGTAACTTTTCACTTAACATTGTCAGTTTCCTTCAGTTTTTGAAAATGTTGGCTGCAACATTTCCTTTAACTAAAATGGTGTCAATCAGTTCTCTTGTTTGCAAGGGTACTTGTGTTTTCCATTTTATAATGTCATATTCCTGTTTAGTAACTACACTGACCTTTAGAAGACTGCACAAAAATGAAAGGACACACACCAATTGTTGAAAGGGGGCTATTCTACTCATCTGATTAATGACAAGTCACTTTATGTCATTCTTCCGTCTGTCTGTCCTTTTTTCTTTCCTCTTCAGCACTAGGGAGCTGACACAATATTATTCTGTAGCTCTCTCCAGTAGTCAGGGTTTGACACTGACTTATCCATATTACCGTTTCCCAAGCAGCTCTAACCATGGGTGTGTTCCACATGACTGCATCTTCCGAAGAACTTTTGCCAGGTCCAAATACACAATTGTAGGGTCAGCATTTTCTTCTCCTGGAGTGTTTGAATTTGACAACAGTTATTCAGGAAGAAGAGGATATCAAGATTGAATCTTATCAACAAACTCTTGCCCTTCCATGCATATCAAGAACTCACACCTCGGAAATTATTTGACATGGTCTACCCATGGGTCATGTCCAGATTCCCAAAAGGCCAAGCCACCGTCATAATAAAAGCCTTTGACATCATCAGGGCAATCCAGAGAATAAACTCAAGCACTCACAGCTTCTTGGGCTGAACTGGAACACTATACGCCCAAAACAGAACATTCTCATTCAAGTGGAATGTGACTGCACACCCAGATTCGAAATACTACCTCAGTGTTTCTAAACAATTTTCCAGAAATTGACAGTTGGGAAAATGTCTCCCGTGTTCCAAAATAACATCACTTTTCATTTCCAGTTACTGAGATCCCCATGGCAGGTAAAACAGGCTGCCCCATCTTCAGGTTCTACATAATAGAAGCCAGCCTCTAGCCAGCTCTAAAGATGATCAAAAGCCCAACAGTCACATACAGTAATTAAATAATCTGGAATCTTCAGTACTCATTGCATAGCTAAAGGGTATCCTCTGAATGTTCTCATTCTCATACTATATAGGGTTGACAGAACACTAAATACCAAGGTTCCATGACAACATGCAGTTCCTGGATAGGGACAGTGAATTAAAGAAGTGGTCTACTTATTTGGCTTCACATTATCTAGAATTCCTTGATGTTTTACTAAGTAGTTTTCCTTCTACTTTACTTCTAAGGCCTTAGTGATAGCATGAAAGACTGACAATCTATACATCACCAGGTCTTGAGATTCTCAGCTAGTTTACTACTTAAGAAATTTGAGGCTTCTACACAGAGACAAATAGCCAAACGAATGGAAACACATGAACTATGAACCAAAGGCTGAGGGGCCCCCAACTGGATCAGGCCCGTTGAATGGGTGAGACAGTTGATTGGCTTGATCTGTTTGGGAGGCATCTAGGCAGTGGTACAGGGTCCTGTGCTTATTGCATGAGTTGGCTGTTTGAAACCTGGGGCTTATGCAGGGACGCTTGGCTCAGTCTGGGAGGAGGGGACTGGACCTGCCTGGACTGAGTCTACCAGGTTGATCTCAGTCCTCGGGGGAGGCACCTCCCTGCCCTGGAGGAGGTGGGAATGGGGGGTGACTGGGGGAAGTGGAGGGAGGCAGGAGTGGGGAGAACAAGGGAATCCGTGGCTGATATGTAGAACTGAATGGTATTGTAAAATAAAATAAAAGGAAAAAAAAGAAATTTGAGGCTTCTAAAGAGTAGTTACTGCAACCTATCAGTAATTAATCTATCTCAACACTTGAATTTGACCATACTGCCCTGTTTGAATTTTCCCACTTCAGCATTGGTCTTTGATTTGTGCTACCTGGTGTGCTGGCCCAGATACCTGATCTGTGAGTTTTCCCATTTCAACATTGGTCTTTGATCTGTGCTACCTGGTATGCTGGCCCAGATACCTGGGGTTTGTGCCAGTTGTTGAGTGCATGCCAGATGGCCATCATCAAATATAATAAACTGAACTAACTATCTTGAGAAAAGAGTAGGTGTACAGGTTGCGGCTTATTATACCGTGGTGTAGAACCAAGTCTCTAGAAGACACAAGATTCAGAAAATTCAGGCTGAGCCTTATGCTATGGGGTTTTGATTACAAAAACACTAGTTCCTCTCTGGCATGAATCAAAAATTTGGATCCAAGCCTTGAGGTTGCAGATGTTAGATATGCAGCTTGAACTACCTCCTCAGCATTCTTATGGGCTTGAATTCTTCAAGCAGCCTCCAGCCCTGGCTGATTTCTAGAGAACTCTGCAGATCTCCAGACTCAATAGCCCCTAGGATTTAGCCTACAGGAATTCATCCCAGGCAAGTTAACCACAGACTTTCACTGTTCTTTACTCCTTTATATATTTTCAACACACATTTTTAAAGTCCTATTAATTGTGCTTAATTCTTCCATTTCCTTTCATCCAGTCTTTTTTAAAATTTAATTTGTTGACATGTTCACAAGAAAAAAAAATTCTTAATTACCTGAAAACACATAAGGTTTTTTGCAACTATTACTTTTAGATGTCAACTTGATGAGATTAATAAATACTTAGAAAACTGAAGGGTGTTGCTGGGGTGTTCTTTAAGGATGTTTTCAGAGAAGACTGACACATGAGTCTGACGAAGTGGGTAAAGTCCACCCTCTGGTAAGATGGGCGTTATCCAATCAGTTGAGGATCTGTAGAGAATAAACAAAGGAATTTGTTTCTTTTCCTTGTAGAGCTAAGATGCACTCTTCTCCTGCCTATAGACATCACAACTCCTGTATTTACATTCCAGGACTTTCATTATTACTTTCGACATTCAGTTTTAGACTGTCACTTTCACCACCAGCTTCCCTGGTTCTGAGCCTTCAGGAATTAGATTGAACCATCTAGTAACATCCAAGGTCTCCCGAGGCTAGTTATAGGGCCTCAAAAAATCTTAGTTACATAAGCCAATTCCTCTAATAAATACTCTCTCATCTATTTGTCTGTCTATCCTCTTGGTTCTGTCTCTCTGAGAACATTGACTTATGTAATTATCTCTCACACATGACCTAGGAACATCATATTATTTTATGGTGTAATGCTAGCTCCTTTTGTTTAGCAAAATTTTGAATTGGTTCTTTAGAAAAAATGAACCCACTCTGACTTATAGGTTATAGCTAGTCTCCTGTCTATAAAAGCACAATGTTTACAACTTATGCATGTGCATGTCCCTTGAAAGTTTTTGCCCTTGTTTGCCCTTTCTTTTAGGATTATTACACATTTGCATGTGTCCCCATACCTGTTCCGAGTAGAAAACTAGCGCCTTCCAGGGCTTTTGTCCTGTATAGCATTTTTCTGAGCCTTTCTCCAGAATGTGGCACAGTCTCTTTGACTGTGATGGCATTGCCATCCAGAAATACCAAAGCTCTTTTGCCACCATAAATCCTAGGCAGAATGCAAACTTATTTGTTCTTGAGAGAGCAGTACAATCCCATCATTGGTTTTGTGATCAGACCACAATTGTGTTAACAGGAACCTCATTTATTGCCTGTGGAAATGCAAATTGGTATAGCCATTCTGATAACTGTTTACTACTTTCTTTTAATAACTAATTCATGCATTTACCATGCAATCAACAGCAACATTCCTGGGCATTTATTGCAGAGAAATGAAAATCTGTAAACACATAAACACTCTGCAACCTACATACAAATGTTCAAAGCAACACTATTTGCTATAGTCCTAAACTGTAAACAATCAAGATGTTACATAATAGGAGGAAAGTTAAACAAACTATGATATGTATATGCTATGGAATGCTGTTTCAAAATAATGGACCTGCAAAAACATGGAACAATTGCAAAGGATTTCTACTGAGTAAAAGGAAATCTTAAAATGTTGTATAGTAGTTTACATAACACCATCAATGATGATATTGTGAAGACAGAAAAATATTTATTCTTCCAGAGGTGGGGTTAGTGGGGTCTGTGTTGGGTAATCTGTGACTGAAGGTTGGCATTAGGGGACCTGTGCCATGATGGTTCTGTAAGGGTTCTGTAAATGTTCTGTGGCTGTAATGGTCACACACATCTATATGCATGATAAATGGAATAGAAAGATACAAACTCTGGGACAATGCCAGTTTTCTGTTTCAACACCAGGTTGTAGTTATGAAAAACACAGCCATGGGAAAAAAACTGAGAAGGTCCTCAGGAGAGCTCTCTTTACTATTTTCCCCAAATTTTTTCTCAATATATAATTATTTAAAATTTTTAAAAACTAGTAAATACATTTAATAGCCTTGTATCTATTTTTAATTGAATTTTGAAGTTTAAAACTTATCACATCTTATAATATAGCTTAGTGTATGAAGTCAGCCTAGGCTAAGGAGACC